CAGACTAAAGAACAGCCTGGCAAGAAGTCGAGCTGTTTTCTGGGTGAATGGACACTTGACGTCAACAAGTCAAACAGGCAAGCTCAGTCTGGCAATGTTCAGGATTGACGATGGAGACAAATACATAGTCACATAGTCACGGCAGTGTGCGGTTGCTTCTTCTTGTTTTTCCGAAGGTGAAAGCCAACCCCAAAAAAAGACAGGACCGGGGGGCACGGTGGTCCATTGCTTGGGTTGAAAGGGAAACAAAAATAAGGAACTTCCTCAAAATGGCTTCACTGTTGGCCTCCCTTTAAGCCAATCCAAAAAGAGTACCAAAAAAAAAAACACGACACGCGTCCAATCTACAGGAAAACCATGCAATGCGGTTCATGCGGTCGTGTCGAGTCTGGCCTCCACAATGCTCTTCGCGATGTTGGCGTTGATCTTCAGCAAGTCGCTGGGCACCGGCCGGATCGATCGAAGTCTCAAAATGGTCTGAACATGGCTGCACATTGAAAAGTCGCCAAGAGCTTTCGGGTGAAGAGCCCCTGGTTGAAATTGCAGAAGGGGCCTCACATCTGCGCTCTAAAGATCGATCTCTTGTAGGTTTGAAGGGAAACCATATTTTTGGTCTAACCTCTTGCAGGTTTCACGGAAAACTAGTGCAGACACTTTTGTCTGACTGAAGTAGCGATGGTTGCCTTGTGAAAACCAAATCACCCATTTTCCCACATCCAGCATCCCAAGTCCTGTTAAAAAGCAGCGGTTGGGGGGGGCGCTGGGTCGATTCAAATGAGTTTTTGTCTAGGCGCCTTCATCTCACTGACCCCAAGGCCGTAGATTTGCCTAACGGTTGACATTTTGAAACCATGCCTCCGTCAAACATGGGAACCCAAAAGAAACAAGCAAACAAACAGGTCCAAAGGCCAGATCCGGTCGATTCGTGTGAGTTCTTCCCCTTGCTGAAGAAATGTGTGGTTGGAGCTAGGGGTTCTGCCCAAACCAAAGCGCCCTTTGTGTAAGCAAGCCACAGGTCACTGGGACATGGGAAAACCAAATGGATAAACCGGTGATTTCTCTATGCTTGGGAGTCGCAGCGTCAAATGTGAACCTCGTAAAAGTTACACTTCAACAACCTGGATCAGCAAAGAACCCTCAGAATTGATTGGTGAGAAAGATACCTTCTCAAACTTCAGCATCTGTGCGAACAACTGTATTTTTTGCACCCCTGCCCAACGAATAAGGAAAAGAGCAAAAAAAACAACACCTGGATCCCCCCAGTCAATAAGGACACCTGGCTGTGGGTCAAAACCAATGGTACCATGTTGGGGTAGGTGCACCACCCATTTTAGAACCTATTTTAGTGGGGATTGGGATGTTCACTATGGCCACATAGATTTCCGCCGTTTTATCCAAAGCGAAGGCAGGCCCCATCCGCAGCTTTGCCTCTTGCTTCTACCTTTGCTCGGCACACCCACCGGCACGAGCACCAGCGAGCAGCCTGCCGGGAAACGTGTGAAGGTTGTGCTCAATAGCAAGACGTGGACAATTTGAAAAATGTCCCTCCCCCTTTGGCTTTGGGGGAAAGTAACAATCATGTGATGATATGTGATGTTTAGCACCTATAGTTAGCCTTTTGATGCCTTCACAACAAACAGCAACGATCAACCAAAAACCATCCCCTGAATGCCCTTCGAGTTTGACATTGATCAGCTTCACGCCAGTGGGGGGTTTGGAGCCGAATCGGTGGTTTGGATGTGGACAGAGCTACAGCCGGAACGAATCATGACACCTTTTCCGTTGGTTTTTTTTTGGGGGGGAGCACACAACCAAACATCAGATAAAGAGCCTAAAACGAATCCATGAGAACAGGAGACACCCTGGAGGTCACAACTGGACATCTCAAGTTGCATCGACTCCAGCATGAAGCCGATACCTTGTCTGATTGTCACAAGAAACCAACTGCACCGGGCCCAGGGATGCTATTTCTCTGTCGAGGCAACCAGCTGAGCAACCACCCGTTATGAAACAAAACATAATGGCAAAAGTCCACCTATGGCCGGCCTGAAATCCACAAAGGTTTGTCTCAAAACAAGAAAACCCTCAAAGATGGTTGGTGTCCTTTTGGTTTTCCTTCAAAACCACCAACAGGGACGGCATAACATGGACAAACCCAAGGAGGGATTTGGTTTACCATACCTGTTCCCATTCTCAGAAAGCAAATGATCGCCTCAAAGAGTCGCCGCACTCTCGGTTAGCATGAAACTGCTTTTCCAAGGGAATACTGACAAATTCTGGTCTCTCTGTGTTGATGTTGCCCTTTTTGGAGTTGACTCATTTCAGGCTACCCTAAGTTGGTGCTTTGGATTGGTGTCTTGGGGGTTTGCACCTGTGGTTCTTGGCGCTCGGAGACCAGCCGTGGCTAAAAGCTTTAGATCTCAGTTTGGAGTGCCGCTGGGTTTCGGAGCTCCTTTGAGGTGATTTTCCTGGGGTGGGACACCCCTAAGGGGTAGGGGGTGGGTAGTTGAGTCATTGAGAGCCCCAAAATTCCCTAGGCTTCCCGGAACTGAACGGGCTCAATGGGGGTTCTTTGAAAGTAGGGTTTGGCCTTGTTGCTCTGATATGGCTGTGGCTCCAAAAACCGGTACCCAAATGGAACCCCGGAAAGTGGAAACATGGACCAACACCTGCGTAGCCCCTGCTTAATTTTGAGCCACACCCATAGCGCGTCTTGAACCCACGGGGATTTGGGCCGACCGGAAGCAAATGTAAGATCCCAACTTCCCTGGAGGTCCCTGAAGCTGAAGCACTGAAGGTGTTGAACCACGCCCAGTGACCATAAAACAAATGCCACGTTGTTTCCCGTGTTTTTTCTTTTTCCTTTTTTTCCGGTTAACTTTATATAAGTTGACCCACACGCAAACACAAGAGATATGTTCAGATCCTGGCAGACTCATTTAGCATATACATCATCAAAAATGAAAAACTTTAAAACCCCAAAACTTTGTTTCAGCTTGTGTTTGGGTAAAGAGACCCCTCCTTTCAAAGGGCACATCTCCTTGTTGGGTAATGTTACCCCCATATAAATCAACCCCACTTTATTAATAGGGGGGTGTTTCCCTCCAAACGTGGTCTGAATTCAAGGTCACAAGGTTTGACATTAAACAAGGCCAACCATCAAGGGCGGGCCAGATCCCTTTTTTTTGCCGCGCGCATCCCAGATTCATCTGGCAGAACGTAATTCCATGACGTGCCTTGCTTGCACTAATTTAAACGAATTTGCTCTCACCTGCGTCTTCAAACAAGTCAGTAACTCCACCCGCTCAGCGTCAATCAGTTGCAGGAAGGGCCAGCATTAATTGCTGCTTGTGCGACGAGGCAGTCCCGGAATGCCGAGAGGCAAAGACATTGAGTTGTTTGTGTCGCTCTGGAGTTTGTCACCAGGACGAAGTCAGGAGGCGGCGGGAGTTGAGGCTTGTTCTGGCTGACAGCGCGAAGCTGTGTCTTGGCTTCCACGTAGATGCAGAACTACGCTTGGAGACACCCGAGAATCTCCCAAAAGCGGGGGGTCGTGCCTGCGTTTGCACGCTTGTCAGGTCACGTGGACCTTTGCCTGGCGCCCCAAACACAAGCGTGGGTTTGAAAGCCATTTGAACAGAGCAGAAATCTTTTGAGTTCTGCCGGCTCTGGGGCGCCGGGCGCCGGGCGCCCCGGGCGGGGGGCGCCCCGGGGCGGCGGGCGCCTGGGGCGCCGGGTGCCCGGGGCGCCGGGCGCCTGCGGCGCCGGGCGCCTGCCTCCACCTTAGCATCCAACAAGCTGAAAGAAGCCTTGCCACACGAAATGTCACTTCGCAACAAGTGCTTCCCGTGAAGTGATGTCAAGCAGGACCTGGCAGAATAGGGGGACCGTAGGTGTCCCGTGGCAATTGCGACGCAGCTCGCTTTGCTTTCAGGGAAGTTGTGGTTTGGACGCTGTTTTCCTGTGGTTCTCCTTCGTTGTTTTCGGAAACGGCGCAGGCCATTTCTCAAGTGTCAGTGCTTTAGAGCTTCCGGCTCATTCTGCAGACATGACCCTCTGCTTGCTTTAACGTCGTACAAGCGCAGCGAGTGTGGTTTGTTTGCTTGTAGGATTTTGTGTCACAAGTGAGGCAAAGGGCAGCGCAGCCGGAGATACATTCACTTGCAGACCGGCTTGGGCGTGAACCCCAGTCAATTCAAACTGTGTTGCACGATTACGAAAAGTTTTGCCTGGTCCGCCGGTGCGCGGCCACATCGGAGGCGTGTAGCGCCTTCGCTCCCCGGGCTTGAGTCGCGGAGTTGCAGCAGAAAATGCGAGACGCTCGCGCCACACTCCGTTTTGTTGCGATTGGCAACGCACCTCTGGTTCTCAGAAACAACCGGCGCAAAGAGAAACAGCCACAGCGCAGGCGCGGCCACCTGGCGGCTCCTTTGATTTTTTTCGGACAATCGAGGGTCTCTTGCAAGGGACCCCCAAAAAACCAGTGTAGGGCCTACACTGGTTTTTTGGGGGTCCCCTGCCAAGGGACCTACAGCTGATCTGCGCGTCTTTTGCAACCTGAAATCATGTGGGGGTCCCTTTCAGGGGACCCCCAAAAACCAGTGTAGGCCCTACACTGGTTTTTTGGGGGTCCCCCAGAAGGGACCCCTGTTTGACCAAAAAAATCGCAGGTTGCTGTGATAATCTCCCCCCCCACACGTGATTAACCCAGGCTTTCCGTCTGCCTGTCAGAGATCTGCGCACTACGGCACCACCAACTTGACCGGACCCTCCCTTGTGAGCAGCCTCAAGCTGGACACAAGTGGCAGGCCACTGCTTGCAAACGGAAAGTCCACGACTTTGGCTGCGCAGGCTTGGCCAGCGAAGTCGAAGACAAGACAGCGGTCACTGCTGAGTTACGGGTTCACTTGCACAAGGGCATTCCTCTACTTGTGATGGGTATGGGAGCACAGACAGGTTAGTGATTCAAGTCAAACTTGGTGCAGAAGATCCAGTTTCTCGTGGGTTGGCTGGGCGCCCGCGCGAGTATAGGTGGCTTTGCTCTCGCCCGCCCCCTCTCGCCCGCCCCCTCTCGCCCAACCCCCACTTCTGACACACGTTTACACACGCGCCCGCCTGTTGTGTTCAATGCGCGGTCTTCCTCCAGATCCATACGCCTTTTCCCACCCCACAGACAGCAGTTTGCATGTGCACCTAGGCGACACAGTACGGTGGCTTTTTGCCTTGTTTCTTCCTTGCCAGGCGAGACCGATCCGCGCCTATGGTGAGGCCCTTCGCGCAGCCAACGCGGGCACTGCTGCCAGCCTACCACCGCCGCTTGCCCAAACCTGGCCATTGCGGCGACAGCCTGCAATACGCCGATCATTTTGCAAAGCCATGCTCAAAGTGCGAGAATGACAAATGGCGCGGAGCTAACTTGACAACCCGCCATCTTGCCAGCTGCGCCGGGGAAGAGGCCAAGTCTTCGAACCTCTTTTTGGCGCCTCGTGTGCCTGGAGGGCAAACAAAAAAAACAATGCTACGGCTGCTTTCGTCACAAGCAAACAGATGTTGCTTGGCTGTGACTATGTCTCGCCGTGTGGTTTAGCATGCCTTCCATGATCAGCGTGCGCACCCTCGGTGGTTGGATCCTGCAGCGCTTTGCTCAGCCGCTATTGTTCGGATGCGGCCACGCAGTCTCCAGGTTGGAGGCATGCTTGGCGCGCGTGTCGAGACAGAGCTACCCATGTCTACATTCCAGGAGATGCGCTGCATTTTCGGGGGCATTGCGGGACTTGCCAGTAAGAAGGCCATTGCGAGAGTAAGCCATAGTGCTTGGCCACGAATACGCGGGTTGCAATCCTGAAGCCCTCCAACTAGGCAACGTAGTGCTGGAAAGTATGCCAACGCGGCCTCGTGGCAAGAGACTGGATGTCTATGTTGTTGAGACGGAATAAGGTCTAAACAAGTGCGAGAAAGACATAATCCGGGCACTGATTCTTTGGCCTTGATTCCTTTATGTAAAATGTCAAATCTTGTGACCCTGGAATTCCCCCACATTTCACCCACCCCCCTATCAAACTGGGGTTGAGTAATATGGAGGCAACCCTTTTCCCCTACTAAGCGACTTCCAAAAGCGAGTCCAATCGCCTTGGAGGCACTCTCTGAGGTGGTCCACCGGCTTCTGGGTGGTGTCCAGGGAATAGGCCTAAAGGCATACGCTGGCTTCAAACGCCCATAGCTCATAGGAATTGGCCCCCTAAAAATGGCATGGTAAGGGGAAACCTCTCAAACTAAGGGTTTCTCCTTTTGGGTGGTTGGGGGAAACCAAAAGGACACCACCTGCCAGAGCTCCCAATTTCTGAGAAACACCCATATATGAACCCCTGATATGAAACGCTAGGGGTTTGAGAGATGGTTGCACCATTGGGTACCCTTGTTCAATCTCCTATTGAGTCTTCGGGGTGGCCATGTGCCAAAGCGGCTTCGGGGATGGGTGCCGTTTCCAGACATAGTCTGGCTTTCTCAGTACTCAAAAGAAGGATCTAGTGGACAAGACAAGAGATGGGAATTCCTCTAGGGTAAAGGCGGAGAGACGGGCAGAAAAACTTTAAGGTACCAGGTACCCCTTTCATTTTGGAATCTACTGTCTTTTGTTTTATTTGCGGAACTACTGCGGAAAAAAACGGTAGTCACAAACAAACAAAAAAAGAACGGAAGTAGTAGTCGGAGGGTGCTGGAAGGTACCCCTTTCATAATGGGGGGGGGGTGGAGAATGTTCTTTGGACAAGCTTTATTGTACTTGGTACCCTTTGATTACTCGGGTACCGACAGTAGCTGCAGAAACGCCCATGCCCTTGCCTCACTTCCTGAGGGGAGTGGCCAAAGTTGCCAGAACAAGCACAAACGTTGTGTCTTTCTCAAAAAACACGGCGGACAAAGCTTTGTTGGGAGTATGATTATTTAACATTAGCCAGCTAATAGGATTGATCCTATCTTTTCGGTGAACACACATACACTCGCAAGCCAAAGACAAGCCACCAGACTCTTGGCCAACATTCTCTTTCTTGGGGATTTTGTTACCATTCCTTAGTCAATGAGTCAAACAAACACAGTTTCCTGTTCCTGTTGGAAAAGACCCTCCCCCCCTTTTAGTTTGAACTACGTGGTCGACCTTGGAAGCAAACTGTTGGAACACAGGCCTTTTGATTTCAACTCAAATCTTGGGGCTGCCTTTTGTCCTACAAGCAGCAGGCATGCAAAACCTGGCAGAAGCCAGCAGCGACTTGGAAAACGATCCCCTCCCTTAATTTCAGGGCCTCTGGGGGGGCAGGTGTGCAAGGTCCCTGGCAAGGAGAAACCTAGTCTATATTTCAACTAAGGATTAATCTGGAGGACCGTACTAAGGATGGATTCCGGTTTAAGGAAACAAATATCTTTGAAGGGGCACTCTGACTAACAGAGTCTCGATCAAACCAAAGTTGACATTGTGGGCCTAAACGACTGGAATGGGGGTGTGGTCTACTACTACACCACATGTAGCCATGATTACAGGATAATTCTAATTGTAAGTGTTGAGCCCCTTATTCCTCCCCGCCCCATGATGCTTTGGCTTTCCTTTCACCAACCGAAAAAGATGTACCTCCTACTCTGGGGGGGGATGACACAGAAATATTGTGGTGGATTCAATGGCAGTCCTCACTTGCAGCCAAACGTCCTGGGAAAACAATTTACCTACCGGACTGAGCCATGTACCCTCCTGTCCACGTTGCCATAAAACCGGCAAGGACTATATTCCTAAATGAACCCTCTGCCAACACCCCCTGGCTGACTTGAGACTTAAGAACAGGCATTGCGGGGTCCTGCCGGGTTCCATGTGGACAGGAGGGCACCTTTCTTGAACATGAAATGAACCCTGAAAATGGCTAGGGTGAGCGAGCTAAAAACATATAACTGGCGAGCGCGCCAGTCAAGCAAAGCGAGTGGCCGGACTTAGCCTCTTGCCCTCCTCTTGCTCAAGTCCCCAGAACAAAAACATGTATTACTTCGAGCAGTGACAGGTTCCCTATGAAACCAGCACGGAAAAAAGCCTTAAGCAACTAAAAGTCATGAAAGGGAGAATAAGTTGGAAACCCGGCGGAGCACCCCCTTTCGCAGTTCGAAGGTACTTTTCCTTTTTGAACGGAGGGTCTGAACTCTGATGCTTGGGGAAAAGAGCAAAACGGTGATTTCGGCCTGGAATTGCAAACTGATTGATTAAATCACCTCACATGGCCAACGCAAACGGTCGCACAGTCACTTCAGAAGATCACTTCAAGCGATAGCTAGTACTGTTGATGGACAAATACCTGCACCAGTTTGTAGGTAGTTTGTCCAAATTAATATCTCCACCCTAGGTGATGCAGGATTGTGATCAGCAGCGTCAGTGGCCAGAATGAACTGGCAAATAGCGTGCGCACTCTCACCCTTGAAGACATGCCCAAAGCGCCCTCGTTTCTTGATAGACGTATACTCCCTTCCCGACACGTCCATTCGAGTGGATGCCGCAATGAAAAATCCGACGCTGGTGCTTGATCTTGATAGATTCTTAGTGAAGCTTGAGACAAAACAAGGCCAACCAAGAGCCTAAACGGATTGGGAAGCGTTGGGGGGGGGGGGGGGAGGTATTTTCGAAGGTCAGCCCAAGGTGTGGCAAATGAGTGTAAGTAATAGGAGATCAGGATCTTCCCCCATTTCCAAAAGGACGCACGCAAATGGAAGTCAATGGATTCTCCTGTCACATAAGAAGGAACCGGAACCTAAACACCACACAACTAGGGGAATTGTTGCGGTAAATCCGGAAGTCAGCCGAATCGAAGTCTCCCCGTCAATCGAATCGTCGCATCTCAGGACGGCGATCCTTGACTCGGCATTTCCGCTCGATGTGGCCCAGGTCAGTGCCAATGCCTGTCACCGCTTCGTTCAGATTCTCAGGTCCATGCGAAAATAGGGGGACCTCCCGCGCAAACAAAAAAGCACACACAAGCGCATCCTTTTGGTTTCCTTTAAACCAATCCCAGAAAGGCTACCGTCAAAAAGACTCAAACCCAACCCCATGAAACAGAAAGGCGCCCGCTGGCGGGTTTGATAGGCTGTTTTTAAAGGAAACATGGGGCTCAGGGGGTCTTCCCAGAAACATGGGTTGCCAGAAATGGTTGATCTCCAGAGGTCGAAATCCCCTCTCAACACCAAAATGAACTACTTTCAAGGTGGGGATATAACAAGCAAAGTACAGGAGCTTGAGGGAAGGGGCGGCTTCTCTGTGCTGTCATGCCGGATCACATTCAACTCCTCTCATGTCCAAAGTTAATTTGCGAAAACTTTGCTTGATTGCTGAATCTACTTGTTCTTCTTAAAGTCTTATGCAGTTACGTATCTACTTCGTTGCTATCATTTCCCACTGCCCTGGGGTCCAGGATGGTTGAAACGAAATCCAAAGGCTAAGGAGCCCGGAGTGGCTCGGGAGAGCGGAAGGGGTCCAGGGGAACTCACCTCTTTCATTTGCTCAAGCCCACTGAAATTAATATATATATATATATATATATATACATATATGTGTATATATGTATATATATGTATATATATATGTGCATATGTATATATATATATATATTCATATGTCCAGAAGTGATGGATTCCCTTTAGAACCAACGGGGGAGAATAAACAATCGTCTTAAGCAAATGAAAGACCTGGACTTATTTATCAAGAGGTGCCCTTGTTTGAAGCAGGCTGGACAAAGTCTTGGAAGCCTTGGGGAGCTACTCGGGAGAGAATGTCAGTCAACAACATAACAGGTCTGGCCTGGATCATTTTTTGCCAAAAAGGGAGCTCATGGCAGACCGAAAACACTCACTCAAGCCCATGCTGTTTTCAGCTTCGGTTCGTCTCCCTGGCGCGCTTGGGCGCAGCTCCTCTTCAGGCCCTAAATGCCATTCCTTTTGATTCTTGGAGGCAAAACAAAAATCAATCACGAGCTAAATGCAAGGGTGCGGATTTATTTTGGAAGAAGCCAAGAAGCCAAAAGCGAAAACAAAAATCCACCAAAAGAACGGGGGGAACAAGAACAACAACAACTAAAATAAATACCCCTCCAAATGCAAACCCCCATCAAACCTCCCTGAAGACTTCTGACAGCCCAAACTTCTCCAGAATCCTATTTCAGCCTTTTCCCCACACCCTCCCCAAGCCCTCCCTCAGCGTCCCCGCAAAACGGTCAGGAAGCTGCGCCCTTCGACTTTGGGTGGCCCTCCCTTAAGATAAACCTGCCACAGGCATTGAACAGCCGGAACTCCGCACCACATTTCGGTTGGAATTTTCCATTCAACTGTGTTTTTGAGGATACCCTTTTTTGGGGTGGACCTCAAAAATACTTGCCTTTGTCGCAGGCGCGTTCGATGAGCAACCACGAAGAAGGATATCCCGACAAACGAAAACATGTCGTGGATTCCAGACTTCTTCGACCGAATTCCTGCCTTCGGCTGGCACCATGGCAATGGTGAGGTCATAGACCTGCGGTTTCCAGAGGGAAACAAACCAAAGGAAACCAAACGAACTGATAACTCAGTTCCGATCGAGTTGGAACTCAAAATGTCACCAAACTTTTATTTACCACTATGCATCAACTCCAAAAAGTGACAAAGGTCCAGGAAGGGGGTTCCGGAACCGCCCCTCAAGTCCGGAACGGTTTGGACTCCGAAGCCTAGACATGCCAGCGAAAAGCAGGTGAACTCGCTTCCGTGGATTCAAGAAGCCATAGAGGCTCACTTCCGATCGAGTGAACTGGCCAAACAAGGTAACTAAACATTTGGTTTGCCAACCCAACAGCTTTTGGCTAGGGAAAAGCATCCCCCTCTTGGCCCACATCTGGGGTACGCAGAAATCATCTGTTCAGATGATGTTTCATATGTTGCCTACCTAAAAAAGCATGCTGCGGCTTTGGAGACCCCAACTGAGTGGAACGGCCAGTTTCCTCTGAACATCAACCCCCAATGACCAAAAAAAACACCCATCTACCTGGAGTCTCCTTCAAACATGGGGTCACCCATTTTTCTTTTGGGTAGCCCCATTTCTAAAGTGTCACACTTTAGAGCTTCCCCCGAACCCCGACGATCCGATTTTCATGTTTGGCCCCCCACTGAGAGCTCCCAAACTCGGGGATCCAGCGCCATGAGGAGGCACAACCTCGCGGAGACCAAGGGCTCAAGAGCTACGAGCTTCAAACCACGTCAAGAGTAGGTTATAACAATGATTACAACTGGGGTAACAGAAAACTAGCCCCCTTATACCCATGGTTGTTACCCGGATCTTACGTCAGGAGTAGGTTATAATCATGATTAATTACAACTGGGGGAACAGCGGTTAGTAGCCCCTTATAACCATGGTTCTAACCCACTTACCTGACGTGGTTTGAACAAAGTGGTTTGGACGCTCTGGACATCATGGATACAAAGGACCTGTCTCCTTTTTCCCGACTCAAAGATGGGGATTATGATCCATTCGTTTGGGCAACCCCGTTAAGAGTCAGAAGGAGACACCAGCCAACTGAGGGCACTCCACCTTGAAACAAGCCAAGGGCTGGCAATGAAAAAACTTGGCTCGCACGACGCCTGCGCGAAATCATGAGGATGTTTAAACATGGATACTGTGCAAGAGCCCCCAAAAGAGAAGACAACCAGTAGTAGAAGAGGCATAGACATATTGTTTGGACGCATTTCCTAGCTGATTGATCTGGTTCCAATGCCTTTGAAGCCACGGGCTCTCTATTCTCATTGCTATGTGCTTGCATTGGGCGAACCTGAAGTCCAGGCTTTAGCCAATGCTATCAATTTCATTCCGCAGGGAGGTGGACAATCCCATGCTGTTTACTTTGAATGCAAAGGATAGGTCAAGAGAAAGTGAGAAAAATACGCTAGGTCATTTGAGGGCTTGGGATCTTATCCGGAACGCAGGCAAAGATTAAAGCAGAACATATATAAACACATGTATATGTATATCAACAAATAGCTGTGTATTACACGGGAAGCAAATTGAAAAATGCATGACCAACATGTATCTATAAACAATGCCAATAATTAGTAAACTTATCAATTATAACATACGTGAATTTCCACCAATCGAACGTAAAAACTAAATATGGTGAAGCTCCTGGTTAAAACAAATATAATAATAAAATAGAAATATTGCAATATAAACACTATTAAATATGTTCATGTTGGAGAAGAACGACAGTGAGTGACAGAGGAGTGAACGGAGACAATAAATCAACAAGACATAGATGAATTAGACTCATACAACATGTGTGTTCTTCCTGAAACACGCGTGTTTCTATGTCTTTCTTGATCACATCCATAGTAAATGTATCATCCATATTCATTGTCCCATTCACAAGTCTCTTGAATACTAATCATCCAACATATGCTATCATCCCACATCACACTTAGTATGTGACAAAGAGATAGTGAAAGGAATGGAATCTGAACCCAGAGGCAGGAGTGATATGATAGAAGTCCTTAAGTAATCACTTTGACTCATTGTCATGCCGTTCTTTCTCATGTCTATGCTCCTCTTCTGATTCTATTTCTATCATTTGATTGCAAAGGAACTTGCACAAGACAACTCAAGTCCCCATGTCTGCTTCCACCTGAACACACCGCAAAAACACAACAGCTTACTTGAAGGAAACCAGAAAGGTGTAGTTTTTTGAGCATTTGACATGTTGTCAAATAGGGGGGCAAGGAAATCCTCTGAAGCTACTTGGGCTACGCCTCCCCCTCAACCTCTGTGTAGGCTTTTCATGGAAAAGCCGTGAGTTTCCAACAGCCTGTGGGCGAAACTTGGCCGAGCGCCTCTCTCCGTCCAAGCTACGGCTGCCCGATACCGCCCGCGCCGCCGCACACGCACACCTGCGCTCGAGTCGAGTCCAGCCCAACACCCCCAACTTCGCAGCAGCTGGGCGGTTGATGGCGCTTTTATTCATGCCAGCTGGTGCGTTTGGTGGATCTTCAGTGCGAAGTGGTTCCTTGACCCCTTGCTACTGCTTTGCCGAAGACATGACACACATCTCTCCAAACCCTAAAGCAATCTTAGCGTTGAAGGGTGTAGCTGGGAACAAATTGAAGGCAAGTTGGGTAAACCGGCCCACTCTCTTCGGGGGTCGACTGGTCGACTCCTGTACTTGCTCACACTCATGAAGAATCAAAGCGAACTTCAAACAGGGGCACTCTTTTAGTGGCCCTGCAAATAGTTCAGGTGCCCCTTTTGGGAACCTTAACTAAACGTGGAGGGGAAGAAGAAAACAGGTCATGTCGATTCAAATTGTGTAAGATTCGAAGGGGATTTTCAAATTTATTTGCGGGTTGCCGAACTTTGAGGACCTTACTTTGAATTGTAACCTATAAACAACCTGTGAACACCTCAAAAGGGTGTGTCTCGGAGAAAAAACACGTTGCACCCCCAAGCATGATTGGCATGATTGGCTTTTCCTTTATGTTCCTTTAAGGTTTCCCTTTCAAACCCAAGGAAAACACAGAAAGCAAACCAACTCATCCCCGCGGGCGCCTTGAAGCCCTGCTTCGGCGTCGCCGGGGCTGGCAGGCCTCAACGCCCGAGTCGCGCGTCGCTTGAGCGAGGGGTGGATCCAAAAGGGGGGGAACTCGTGATGCGGCGTATTTCCTTTGTTCACCCCCAGTGAACATCCCAATCGCAACTAAAATAGACTAAAATGGGTGGTGCACCTACCCCAAAATGGTACCATTGGTTTTGACCCACAGTGATTTGAGGGTACACCTTTGTTTGTGTGGGGGAACTCGTGTGGAACTCGTGTGGTACACTCCCCCAAACATGGAAGCTCCAGGACCCCGAAATGGAAGACTTGGTTCCATTTACAGGATCGGCCTTCTGGGAGCTTGCGTGGTAGTCTGAGGGAGTGTGGGTCGCACCAAGACCAGCAATGTACAACAGGCTTCTAAACAGGATACATTCTGTCCAAACTCAAAACTAGCTTTAGCAGTTATTTTGATGGGTTTTACACTTACTGCCGCGCAGCCTACGACTCACCTCCATCGGAAGGTTTTGGACCCCACTTTAGGGGCCCCTTCGATGCTTAGGTGACTTCTGGATGTCTCCAAAAAAACTCCGTAGGGCCTCCTCCCCTTTTCCAGTCGTGAATTGTCAGGGGCGGTGCTTCAGAATACAAAGTCCAGGAACTCAATGAGGGAGTAAGCCTATGTCAAACAAACCCAAAAAAACACCACGCATTCCTGAAATGTCAGGGTTTGTTCTATTTCACCTAGGGGTGAATCCTCCAATTACCAAACACACTCCAAAATAAGCAGGCTGCATCATCTGCAAATAGCCTGGAATTGGTGTAGCTGTACTCCCGGGGGCAACTTGCGACACAACATCGCACCACACTGTGGGAAACTGCAGGTTCTCGTGGAATCGGATTCAACTGGGGTGCCCAATGTTTGTGTGGTTTCATTTGGTTTCCAACAGCGACAGCACGTAAGTTTCCATGAATCTAGGACAAACACATTTTGAACAAACAGGGGGCCCGATATTTTCTCGGCTCACACTTGGGGTCCTCCAAAAGCTATAGTTGTTAAACAAGGGGCATAACTCGTCTACCCAATATAAATATCCCGGTCCTTCCAGTTGCCACTATAGTAGACAACCGGTTGAAACCGAATCCATGCTAAAACTAGAGGCTAAAACCACCGAAGGGTGAATTATGTGGAGGTTCAAAAAGTATTACCCAAAATAGCACCCTGGTTTAGGAAGCAAAGACTAAAACCTGCGAAACCCCAGCTGCGATCCGATCCGCCTGCCAAGGCCTTGCCACGCCGGAATCCTGCGAGAGACGCCGAAAGCCCGAAAACCGCGGGGAAGATGCGGGGGTCATGGGAGTGGAGTTGGGGTTTTCAAGGGACACCGATGAAAACACCAATTGTTCCCACCAGACAAGGCCGGTTCTCACCATTTGAAGACACGGCTGGCTGTTTCAGAGTTTCTCGAACTGGTGGGGGAATTCCCCCTTCTGGCCATGGGGGTCGGAGCTATAGTTCACTTGGAACTCAAGCCTTTCATCGTTCGATTGACTGGGATGTAGATGGCACGATTCCCCCCTTTTGGTTTGGACCCCTTATCCACAAGGAAGTCGCGCCATGCACATTCAACTGTAGAGGTTCCGACGGCTAGCGCTTGCCCTGTGGCACGGGGGCACCCATTTGAGCATCTGCCCACGTGTGTGTTTTCAAAACCAAAGGCAAAGCGACCAATTGTTCCTTTTTTGTGGGAAACAGGAAAACCACCATGCCCAGTGCTTCATAGGCAAGGGGAAACCATCATGCAACGCCTGAAAGAAAGAAACCCTGGTTACCTACTATAGCGTAATAAAATTGAAACAGAGGGGTCCACAATCAATTGTTCAACAATGCTTCTCCACCTATGCTCGAACACCCGCCGGTTCTCCTTTGCCGGTCAAGGAAAGGCATAATCTTTGTGGGGGTGTATGTCTACCAACCAACCAACCAACCAACCAAGCAAGCAAGCAACCAACCAACCAACCAACCAACCAACCAGTTCAAGGGCGCTTTCGTATTCCCTGCTGAGAACAATAGCCATGTAGTTTAGGCCAAAACGCATTTCGAATGTGTTTGCGGGGACATAATGTCCAATCGTCTTAAGGGTGTTCCAGGTTCCCCAAAACGAATCACAGCCAGAAGTGCCATGGTCAACAATCCTAGAGGCCAACCAAGATCATGCTTCCGTGAATCGGAGTCCCCAATTTCGGTTTAGATACCCTTTTCACCGACACAAAGGGAACTGTTCCATCCACTTTCACCCTGATGTACATTACCAACCGCAAGTACAAAACGCCCAATTGCGCCTTCGAAGCAATTGCCCATCGCAGACCTACACGAGCGACAAGGGGTCGGCCAAATCATGAGGACTAAGTACTTACACGCACTGTCCTATGAGCAAGGAATTTGATGATTTGACCTTCCCGCGACTAAGCTGCGGAAGATACGCACATAGGGAACTTTGGCTTCTCTGCCTATGAAAGCCGCGATGCCTTCTGAGAACGTAGATGTCCAAGTGGCCCTCTGTCGCTTGTCGTGCTTGTGGTCGCTCCAGTGGGTGCTCAATAATCCGCAAGTTGCAATTGCGCTTGTGTCTCTGCACACCCTGTAGGCTCCGTCCGTTGTCAGAACCACCCCGCGCTTCCGCTCAATCTTAAAGCAAGGGCTTTAGAGGGGAGGGGGACTGGGAAATATGGGAGAATTCGACCGATTTGTAGCAGGATGTCCGCGGGGCCCGTCTGTGGAAGAGGCCTGGACGATTTTGACGCTTCGCGGCCTGATTCAAAAGGCCGGTGCAACTCTTGTCAAAAAAATCTAGAAACCGTAGAAGCCAATCAAATCCCAACCGGTTCAACTCCGGTCAAACCGCTCAGAAACCGGTCAAAAACCGGCCAACTCCGGTCAAAACCTAAATTCCCCCTAGAAACCAGTCAACTTGTCCTCTCGAAACCAATCCATTCTTTTCTCTTGTTGGCTCAGCCCAGGCCATCAGGCTTCGCTTGGCCCAGTCTTCTGCAACTCTCCCTTGAAGCCATGCGGAAACACGCGAACACGCACCCACCTATCCCGCATGTCGGTGCCGACTCACTCACTCACTCACTCACTCACTCACTCACTCACTCACTCACTCACTCACTCACTCACTCACTCACTCACTCACTCACTCACTCACTCACTCACTCCCTCACTCAAGCCAACACCACACCTCAAGGCGGGCAACGCGAAGCGTTTACAATAACCTTCCATTTGCGTCCTTCTCTTCAAAAGCTGAGCCAAAGCCCAGGCGAAATCGTCGGCTGTTCTATGGATCCAAATGAGTGAAGAGCTCAGACTTTATGCCCAGACCTCCAGCACAACTTGGATGTTCAACTTAATAAGAAGGGCATGACCATGGTAAGGGGATGATCGCCCCTACCCAAGCTGTAACTTATACTCATGGCTATAGCTGTAGCAAATATATACCAGACGTTGGTTGAACATTGAGCCAAGTCTCTTTGAAGCCTTTGAAGTCACAAGCCCTTGGAGGTCGCGCCGGGTTTGGACTGAACCCGCTTCACCTACCGTAAGTTGGCTCAACTAGGTCCTCCAGTAGAGAGGTTCGAAGAAGGGTACCAACCTTTTTCCTGTAGTCTATTTTAGTAGGGGAACCCTCGCCCAAAAACTGGGTAAAAGGGCACTACCGGGGGACCTAGTCGATATCCAAGGCCTTGCCTGTTGGCTTAAGTTTGAACCTCCAAACGTTGAACACGCACGGATCGATCCGCATGGCGGCAATAAGCTCACCAGAAGGGAAAAGGGCCACGCGGGTCCCTACCAATGTTCCTGGCCCCAAAATGAGCATGGGTGACTTTTCCCATCTAATGGTTGAAATATCATCTTAGTGGCTTCCCAACCAATGGTCACCCCAAGTTCTGAGCAACCATCACATGGGAGTTGGACATGGGAAAAAGCCACAAGTTCTGCGATGGCAACAAAATAGGGGACAATACTCAAACCTCCAGAATTTCATGGGCAGAAAGGGCGCCAATTCTTTATCTGGCCTCGATTCTACAGTCCGGGAATATCCGGAAAACGGTTTGGATGCGCTTAGCTTCTTGCGCATTCCGCATCTTCTTTCCCTTGTTGGTCCTGAGTCTTTAGTACTCTATAAAAATATGCCCTGGGGATATCCAACATCCCCTTTGAGCCTATCTGGGCAGAGACCCCATACTAACTGGATGGGCAAAATCCAGTTTGCACCAGTTGGGATGGATGACACCTGAAAAATACCCGGGTAAACCGTCTACCAACAGGTGCAGATGTTTGTCCACCCACAGTAGCTGTCTCTGATGGTCAACCCACTTAGTAGTTGTAACCATGGTAAGGGGATCCCCCTACCCGAGTTGAAACCATGGTCATAGTTATAACCTGCGGCATCGCCATTTAAACATCCGGACATGTTTTACACTACCTCCAGCCCTGAAGCCCTACACCCCGGTTTTCAAATATATGAATGTTGTCAGTGTACTAAGTGGGTTGAACATGGAACCTGACAGAGACAAGGTCCCGAAGGAACAAAGGGCTAGTGGGGTGAACCTCCAAGAACAGGGTTGTGGGATCACTCGAGGTTTATCCCCCACTTCTGTGATACAAGGGAATCTCCCCCTTTGTGCGGGCATGGGTCAAGATTAAACCACCAGGGCATCACAGGTTTTCGTCCTTTCCATTTGCCAGAGTTCCATGTCGTGGACCCATGTTTGACAACCACACCTAACATGAGTCGCAATCAAAACCTGGTACTAAAATGGTCTACCCAGAACCACGTACAGGATTAAGAAGGCGGCCGCAGCTATTTCTGGTTGGGATCGTCCCTTACTAACCCTCATCTAACCCGGGTTTTGATTGTGGCTCACATGGAGCTGGGTTGAACCTCCAAGTTCCGTCCCAAGAAAACGCCCCGCCTGGCCCTTTCGGCAGGACCTCTCGGGCCAGCCCGCCCGCGGCTCCCCGGAGCCCGGGGCTCAGCGGGGCCGGGCTCGAGCCATAAAGCACTCGAAATGGAAGATGGGGGTGTGCCTTGTCTTGAGGGTTTGTGTTTTTCTTGTGTGTTTTTTGTTTGCTTGTGTGGTTTTTTTCTCTTTGGGGGGGGGGGGGGAGTTAAAGGGAACCAAAAGGACAATTTTGCGGGCGTCCCTAGAAAGAGTGTGCGTGTGTGTGTGTGTGTGTCTCTAGAGGCGGGTGCCAGGGAAAAACTCAACCCTTTGCGATCTGTTTGCAATCCGTTGTAAATAATACCCTGTGTCCTCGTCCCTAAGACTTTGTCTTGTGGCTTTCCAACTGGCCCCAAGCAATTTACGCAAACCTGACAATCAATGGGGAGTGCTCCTTTTCCCAACTCAACCGACTAGCCTCAAAAACACCCGCCCATATTCCCGCACACAGCTGCACTGCCTGGTGCTGTTTCTGGAGCTGGCTTCCTTCAACTCTCTTGGGATGGCTTCCGGCGTGTCTTTGTGGGTACCTGTTTCTCGGGTTCCTTAGAGGATACATTCAAAACCCAGCTTCACCTGGGAATTCTCCGAGCTGAGAAACGTCTACCCTGACATACTGAACAGCTTGGCCAACTTGGAGGCAAACTAAATAGAATCACTAGAAAAAGGGCCGACCCCCTGTTTGAACATGAAACCCTTGTTTAAACATCCTACTCTCAGTTTAAACACTGTTGGTTGTGCTAGGGCATGGGGTGAGCTCTGCGAAGAAAAAAAGCGCCGGCCTAAAGCATGAGCTAGTTCTAGACAAGAAATCTAGGGATCCGCTGAATTGCCTCATCTTGGATTCACTGCCCGAATCTCCTACCCTACATCTTCGTGCTGCTCAGAGGTTCTCAGAAATTTGGGGTAACCTCGCACCATTGGCGGTTTCTCTTCACAGAACGTGTGAAGGGAATGGCCAAAAATGAACCCCTAGAAACCTATCTCTTTGGGTGGTTCTTCATTGCTTGCAAGGGCCCATCATGGCCCTTGCCCATCATGTCTCTGGGCTATGGCTCCCTCTCAAGTCAGAATATGAGCCACTCCCAATATTCGTTGTACGTGTCCTTTCAATCCATTGTGTTCCCGATGACATTGGACTTGATGAGCAACCTCCATTTCCTAGTGTTTTGGTGAGTGTACCCACCTACCCTAGACAACGGTTTGTAATGAGGGTTGCTCTAAATCAGTATCTGGGTTTGTCTCAAAACAAAGGACAACCCCCCCCAAAAAAAGAAAATAACAATAACACAACCACAACAATAAACACAATCGTTGGTGCTCCTCTCGTGTCTCTCTGCAACTCTACCCTCAAAAAGAAAGACATGCTCCCGTATTTTCGGTGTCTCAGCTCCAAAATGGTCAAAACAGTATCTGCAAAGTCCACAACATGTCCAAACCATGAACAACATGAATGCAAGACAAATTGGTAGGGGGTCCACCTTGACCTCTAAGTTGCCCTTTGAGGACCCAGAAATACAAATCCAACCTTTTGCGAGATGTACAAAAGTGGGAACCCAAAAAGAAAACACCGAAAGGTGAAAAGGTCAATTCGCTTTGGACAGGTGAGACGAAATGGGCAAATTGTCAGGAGTTGCCAACCTGAAACACCGAAGTCATCACGCGTCCAGCAAGCGTTTTCCCTACAGCGGCCAAGGCCGGCCGGGCAGTCGAGTTTATGGCCGTGAAATTCGTTGCCAGGTCCAAGGCAAGCGCGGCCGAAGCTGTTGCGATGTATTTCAACTCTCCTCATTCCGGTGTGTGTGTGTGTCTTTGTCCTTTGAGGGCACCCGTTTCACCAACTTGTTGCAAGGGGAAAGAAGGAGCGCCGCCCAAAATGGGGGAGGGGGTCTTATTTTGACATGCCAATTGCGGGCTGCACTTGTACAACTGGCGTGAACAACTAACTGTTCTAGGGGTTGATTCCCCATTCTTTTCAGCCATCGTTCTTTTCAAGAACCAGCTGTTTCCCCAGGGTTTTGGGTGGTTTTTTTAGAAAGAAGGATGCCTGGAAAGAATGGAAATGGAAGGTACCCCTAGAATTGTTGCGGGGGGGGGGGGGGGAGGAAGACCAATGGATCCTCTTGACATGGCCTCCTGTTTCTTCCCATTGTTGTAAAGAGTGTACATGACTTACCGCTCCTTTCAAAAACAATCCAACAACCAAAGGAAAGCGCGCTCTTGAGCATGTGGAAGTTTCGCATTTCAGACGCATCAACATTCTCAGTGCCTCACGGAAGAATCAGAGGACTGGAGGCAGCACAGCCTGTCGCCTCCATCGATACGTGAGTTTTTACAACGAAAGACTCCTGCTCGTGACAACTTGCTCTAAAAAGAATGTACGATTCAACAAACATCGCTCGAGTTGTTAGCGACCATGCCTGTCCGAGCCCATTTCCCGTACCATGTTTTGGATGTGCTCGTTCGCACTTGTTTGTGCCGATGTGTGCTTCTTGTTTTCCACTTTTTGTGCACTCGTTTCGTTGATAACTCTTCACAAACTCGCCTCCGTAAAAGAACACGAAACTACCAAACTTGATGTCTGCTCGAAGCAGACATCCAGCTACAACGTGTCAATGTGTGTCTGCAGAAACGCTATCCACCAACTTGCTATACAATATGCCAACAATCATAGTGGAAACCAGGATTAATTAGCCCTGGATCATTCAGGGTCGATTCAAGATGAGCCCCCCCTCCTTTCAATTGGTTCACAAAGGATCAACAGTACCATTCACCACAGCTCACACGGCAAGCGACTCGTTCGTGCCAATGGAACGTATCGCCGCTCACGGAAAGGCACAGGTGCCCAAGACAGGAGGTGCGACGATTGTTGGGAGCCGTGCGGCATAGAAGTTCGGGAAAACCATATGAGTACGTGTCAAAATAGGGGCATCCAAAACAAAGGATGTTTCCCGCCGGCTTCCCTTTGAAACCAGCCCAGAAGGGGCCTCCCTCAAAAAAACACTCCGAGTTTCAATCACAAGTCATCAATTGCAAATGTGAATGTTCAACTTGTCAGGAAGTACTGGCCCTTTCTGGTATCCTCTTTAGGGCCGACGGCACAGGGCGGCACCAGGGCGAACAACTTACCGGAGTGGAGTCAGAAAGAGTCTACCCGGACAATCGAGATTTATGGTTGGCGATGTCCCTCCCATTCTTAAGGGTAGTTTGAGGGTCCAGTCACTCGACGTCTTTACCTCTACGATCATCAGACAAATCTAAGGTGGGGCACTGGGGAAGTTGGACAAATGGAAAATGCAAGTGCGCCAACCTGTCCCTTTCAAGAACTTGGGCTTGCGCTACTCAAATCAGTGCCCAATTTGCTCAGCTTTTGAGGCCTTAGAGGACACACTTGAACGACGGCGTGCACATCCACACTTTTGTTTCAGACCATTCCCGCTTTTTGTTGCTTAGAATCGGCGGTCCTTGAGCCTCCGTTCCACAAACAAGTGCATACTCCCAAGCTGCGTAGGCATTCGAGGACAGACCTGCATTTAAATCAAGCCAGGCGATCGCCGAAAAACATGCTCTTCAGACAAGCCGCGAAGACTTGGGTGGCAAATAATTGCAAAGCCACACCTCCCACTCAATGGTCCCTCCGTATCCGAATTCGTCATGTTTCGCGATGGAGCTGTGCGGTGAGCAGGGTGCGCGAGCCGACGGGCAAGCAAACAATCAAATCTGGGCGGTTTTTGTGTAACCCGGATGGTATATATCCCCCCCTTTTCGGCCGTATAACTATATATTGGGTCTGTCTTAGAATGGGACCAAACCCCTCCCACCCCAACTTCGCGGTATATAAAACCACCCCAAAGGCACCCTGAACTGAACAAAAGACATGCCAATCGACAAAACTTGGCATAAGCGAAGTGCTGAAAGACCTGCATCGATGCCCTGAAAACCCCCTTCAGGGTCTGAACTTGGGAAGGGGAAGAAACCTGGGTCGTAACCCCTTTGTCTTTTCCGGAGGTCCGTGAAGGAAAAGGGGGCTTGATATAGGGACCTGAAATCTGGTGTGAAGGAAACTCAAAAGGAAAGCCACCGTTTTGGGTCCCGTGTTTTGACATGGAGAGGACAGGTTCCCACACTTGCTTTTGGGGTCTCAAAACCTCCTTTTTGACCCCATTCGTTTACATCCTTTTTGGGAGCCGACAGTTGGGTGCCATCGACGCAAATGGTCGAATCTCGACGATCATTTGGGAACTAACCAGCCAACCACCTGATCGGGCTTAAGCCCCGGCCGGGGCTTAAGAAGAAAAAAACACCGGTTCCTGTTTGGGGGTGCTCTCAACCATGGGATTGTTTTGTTGTTTCTGATGTGTTGGGTTCTCCAAACCTAGGTCTATGAATGGACTGTTTACCCCGCCTTCAGACCCCGACCCCGACCCCGAAGCAGTTGGAGCAAAATTGGGTTTGGTCTCGAAACCTGTCTGGCCCCACAAATCGGAAGCGGGGTAGAGACAAAAAGGGGAATGCCATCTACAGCGCAAGCGGATAAGAAATCATTGGAGAACTTCAAGGGCTGGGATTTGTCAAGCCCGCAACTGCTCTTACTGAGAAATTGAGCACCCTGGATTTGCCTCAATTTCACCCTGGCGTTGGTTGTAGTCCGCTTTGTCACCCAGGAGACAAGGCTAGCCGGTCACAAGTCACATGCTGGGTTTATCACTAACTTGGTTGTTTCTGCGCATAGGCAACCCCCACAAAATGGGTGCTTTCCTTTTACGTACAACTCGTGTTGCCCTTAAAACGTGAACCAAACATGTGTTCTCTCATGTTAGGACTGTAGGGTGTTGGGATCCTATGAATTGTGCTTGTGCTCAATGCTTTCCAAAGTTCCTTTCTCGTGCTTCTCGAGGACATGTCCAAGAGCAGCCTTGCCAAACCGGTCCGAACTACCCTGAGCCGCTTGATTCACAACTTTACTGTCGCTCACGGTGCGGAGAAGCATAATAAATGTTATGCTGACTTCCCTGACACTCAACCCACTACCTCCCAAAATACACCAAAGGCTCCGAAATCA